TAGCGTGGTAGCGTTAGCGTGCCGACGTGGGCACACCTCCCTGAAGAAGTGGGTGGATTGGCTGTGTCTCATTTGCATTTAAAGAGACAGGCACTCCAAAGCGAGCGCTCTGAACGGGGTTGTTTTGGGTTAGGGTTAGGGTTAGGGTTAGGGTTAGGCAGGGGGACTGAACTGCTATTGGGCTTCATCCTTATGGGATTTTGACCAAAGCTTGTCACAGACATTACATTAGGACACCGGGGAACTAGCTTAACTTGTTGAAATAGGGTATAATATGTCTCCTTTAAGCCTGTTTATTTCCTGTAAAGGAGCTTTCGCCCCGCCTTTCCTGACAGGAACATACCGGTGACGGTGACCGTGTGGCTGAGGCTGCTGGTCTCCGAATCGATGTGAAGCGTCGTCAAACTGGCCACCTCGTGCTCTTCAGAAGCCACGCCCCCTCCCAGGCTGTCCTGGTCCAATGAGCTGCCACGGCCCCCCCCTCCGGACGCTCCTCTGGCACCAGCCGCTCCTCCACATGCGTCCGAACTGAAGGTAAAATCTACAAAAGAAAAAGGGTTTATCGTCAGTTTCTGTTATAAATCGCAGTTTCTTGTATTCCTAAAATTGACAAACGCTGTGACTGTCGTCTTATCCAAATGAAAAATAAGGGACGGATCTAAACAAAACCAGAGATCATTAACATCCACATGTTAAAGTGACCCTGCCCTGAATTGTACAACATTAGTTTTGGTCTCAGGTGTGAAAACTGGCACATCAGCAAAAAACATCAGCTATAAAACCCTTTTTTTCTCAACCAGACTTCTATAATGTTCAATTAAAAGTGTTTTAATTATTTATTTTTAGCACTTCCAGTTTCAAAGATTTATTCTTAGATTACTTGTGGCAAAACAAAGACAAATAAAAACATGAAAACATCATTTTTTTCAAAGTAACTTAACGTTTCTAAGTGTCTAATAGTAAATTTGTGGCGAATTACTTTCGAATTTGCAGGTGGAGTATTGAAAGGCGTTGAACGAGTCCGATTGGCTGTCGGAGCTGATGACATCAGAGCCGCTGGCACTGGCGGGCGACGTCCACTCAGAGGGGACCCCCGGGTCGTCGATGGGCCGCATGTCGTCGGCGGGCCGTGACCCGGGACTGTGACCGGCCTCCAAGAGCTCCGGCAGGTCCCTGGGAACCTCCAGGCTCCCCGGGCTGCTGCCACGGCGACCCTGCGTTTAAACCACACCGCGTGAGCTCCAGCTTTGACGAATCGGGATGTTTGGATGATTTTAAAAGTGTGCACGTTTGAACACCGACCCCGGTCCCTTTGGCCCTCAGCCTCTCCTGGATGAACTCATCCA